CCCCCAACACCCTCATACACCCCCCATACTACTCCTATTCTCTCACTTCCCCCCCCACATCCCCAGAAGCTTCTCAGCGGATTTGGGCTGTACTTGGCAAGCACAGTACAGCTCCCAACTCAGATTTGAAACAAAATCAGTGGATGGCTGTTTTCTGACCTGTCGGCCCTACTGGTCGGCGGTCGGCAGGTATGCAACCCCGCTGTAGGGTCTTTAGACTCTCTTTCTTGATCAGGTAGCACATACGTGTATGCAGCTGGAGGTAGATGCTGGATCAGTGAGGGTTAATGAGCAATTGGTGGATTAGGAAAAAAGAGCATAGAGTGTGTCTCATAAGTTTTTGTAAAGTGGAAAGGACCGTGTGCTGAGTTTGTGGTGCAGTTTGTGCTGCCGCAGAGGGGCAGGCAGCAAGAGCTGCTGTGTGCTATAGCTTTTGCGGCTGTATCTGGTTTGCGCTTCGCAATGTTTGCATGTTTTTTCCCCTCATTTTGCATCACTGGTGTCTTTTACTGCTTGTTCTCTACGCTTCGCTTTTCCTCACTGCATCGCTTCACCCATAGCAGGTGAGAAAGCGTTGATTTCTCTTGGGTCCTATTCATTCTCAGCGAAAAATCTGCTGCATACTACATCCTCTGCTTCTGTAGGATGGTATACCTGAGCTACGCGGGCTAATGCTAGGGGGGCTATGGGGAAAGTTGTTTGGAGACGATCGGACTTGGACTGATGTACTATGTGCTATGCACATAGCACTACAGTGCCCTACTCCATGGTATTGCCTATGGCATGCACATAGTACCCTAGTCTTTGTTAGCACAACTTCGTACTATGTAACATGTGTATGAAGTACTAGGAACCGATGTACTATGTGCCGTGTACATAGCATTACCTTGCCCTGCTCCATGATATTGTATACGGCATGCTTGATGCGCATAGTACCGCTGTCTTTGTTTGCACAACTTCGTACTATGTAACGTGTTTACTCAGGACAATGTACTCTGCATTCTGATCTCTGTTCTGTGTAATATAGACAGTGTGCTCTGTGCTCTGCAGTACAGTTGATGCGCATGGTACCACTGACTTTGTTTGCACAACTTCGTACTCTCTGTGCTCTGCAGTACAGTTGATGCACATGGTACCACTGTCTTTGTTTGCACAACTTCGTACTATGTAACGTGTTTACTCAGGACAATGTACTCTGCATTCTGATCTCTCTTCTGTGTAATATAGACAGTGTGCTCTGTGCTCTGCAGTACAGTTGCCATGCACATAGCACCACCATGCCTGACTACATGATATTGCCTACTGCATGCAGTGCCATGCACAATTTGCATAGTACCACTGTGTTTGTTTGCACAACTTTGTACTATGTAGTCCGTACTGTGTAACGTGTGCATGCAGGATAATATATTCTCGACTCTGATGTCTGTACTGTGTGGTACAGACCGTGCGCTCTACGCTCTGAGCTCCGTCGTACAGTAGAACATACTCTGCAGCCTGAGTGCTCTGATGTCTGTAGTATAGCACATCGGACTCGGCAACCTGAGTTCTGTCTCCCTGTATTTGTGAATCACGGTCAACGGATGTGCTGTGAAGTTTCAACGATACACGTGCAAACAGATGAATCCGGATAGTCTTTCGTGTCGCAGCCTTGGTATTATAGATGCGGTGATTTGTCTTTGTTAAAGGTGCGGGGTAGGCATGCACGTGGCCAGGTCTACGTTTCAAGGGAGGTTCCGTCTTCCCTTTCTCTCTCCACCTCTTCACCCCCCCCTCTGCTCTCCCCCCTGCCCCCACCCCCCTCAACTCACACCCGCCCTCTCCTTCCGCCCTCCCCTACCCGCCTTACTTGACGACATCGTTATTCGTTTCCATGCATGCGTATGCGTATATTGTGCTAAAGTGCTTGTGTTCATGTAGTGGTAATGGAGTTCCAGCTTTCAAGAGCTTGTGGCACCGATGCAGATGGCATTTCTTCTGTGTAAAATCTAAAGATGGTCTTTTTTTTTTTTTTTTTTTTTTTTTTTTTTTTTTTTTTTAACACGTCTTACATCGTGTACAATTCTTAGGAGAGAATGCGAGCACTGTGTCTCTGCAAGTGCTAGGATCATTTTGGTCAATGGCAGGTTGCATGCAGTTGCAGTCAGTGTTTGTGGTGGCAGGTACCAGCTGTCTACCTGGGTTCTGCACATTCTGATCAATGGGGAGAAGATTGATAAGTACATCAGCGCGCAATTTTGGAGCCTATGTTTATGCACGCCTTAACAGAAAATGCATGTGGCAGATCTTCCGCTGCCGTCCTGCAAGCCCCGCGGTGTGTGTGTGGAGTCGACATACTATCCTGTGCTTTGGAGGATCAAGAACAGCACACAGAAACTCACAGTGAGTGCAATCGGTGAATTCCAGTTACTTTGTTGTGGTCATTTTAACCAGAGTTTCGCAACTGGGATTTTTAGGAATACCTGTACCTGACCTAAACACACCCTCTTTGAAAACCAACCACCCATACCCACTGTATACCTGATCTGTCGCACCCTTTACCTATATCCACCTGCTAAAAAAAAAAGAAACTTCAAAAAAGTATAACCAGACCTACCGTGCCTGAACCTCTTCAGCATGTAACTGGCCATACCTACCCATGAACATTTTTTTGCAAAACCGCTCATGGCCACAATGACCCCAACCGTTTGTTAACCACCCATACCCTACCCTACCCAAGTTTTCTTTGCTTGTAGCCACCTGTACCTACCCATAATTGTATGCACCCACTCGTAACCACCCGTTCTCGTCGCCCAACATCCCTAACTGTACCGAACTGCCCCTAACTGTCCCTAACGGCCCCCAACTGTCCCTAACCGTCCCTAACTGTACCTAACCGCCCCTAACCACCCCTAATTGTCCTTAACCGCCCCCCACTGTCCCCAACCCCCGTAACATCACATGATTGACATGGTAAATTTTTTTTTTTTTGAGATGTGGCAGCTGCTGTAGTTACTGCGGCAACAGCAACAGTTGTTACATATGGTCACTCTGATGCTACTATGGATGCATCTGGTGCTACAGCAGCCTAGGAAACCCGTATAGCATTAGCAAATGCAACAACCCTCGGTCTGTCGCAAACACATACGCTCTCTCACACACACACATGCACACACACACACACAAATATTACATACACAGGGTTTGACACATATGAAAATAGTCTGAAAATTCTAGGTTACCAATGGTCCGGGTGCCGGTCGTCTCCCCCGGACGTCTCCCCCATACGTCCGGTACCCCCGTCGTTCGGGAAAAAAAGTTTTTTTTTTTTCGTTAAAAATATATATATAAATTTTTTCGGTTTTCGATTTTTAACTCATGATTGACTGCGAATTTGAACATGACTCCAAGGCAAAAATTGCTTGTATTGTTATGTTACATAACATATATATTTTTCAGATTTTTCTGAGAACTTTTTTTTTTTTTTTTTTTTTTTTTGTGTTAGGTCGGACAACCCCTGTCCGGTCGGACTTCGGACCAGACGTCCGGTCGGACATCCCGGACGGTCAGGGGGGGGGTCCCGGACGTCCGATCCAACAACCTAGCTGAAATTTTGAAAAACCGAAAGTAAAACAATGAATAGATATAAAATTCACCCTTGCAAGAAAAAACGTTTCCCTCATGGGAAAGCGAGAAATTATTTTCGTCTCATGGGAAAGCGAGAAATGTGGAATATGAGAAAAGCGTCATGCTTGAGCAAAAATACAAAGCCTGCAAACCGTACTTGCGGCACATAGGTGAAGTGCGCAGTGCGCTAATCCCAGGTGCGTGCGGGGAAAAAAAAAAAAAAAAAAAAAAACCGTGATGTGTGTGTACACGCTGGAGAGAGAGAGAGAGAGAGAGAGAGAGAGAGAGAGAGAGAGAGCACAGAGCCCTTTCACCTTATTCAGACAACCCCTGCCAGTACTTCAAAAGGTCCCTGCCAAATATTGGCAAGGGTCCCTTCGACAGGAACGGGGTGGTCATTGGAAGGGTCGTCACTGGACTAGGGAGTAGGCCAGGTACATATGGTGTAGCTTCGATTTCAGGTCCGTGTTTCAGCAGTTATGGGTTACCGACTTGCTAACTCGGCATGTGATTTTGAGGGCTTCACTCCACTACTCACCAAATCTGCAAAACTAGAATGAATCCTCTTCTAGCAACTGGATCCATACAGGCCATACGTTTTTCTTTTCTGCAAGTGCTGATGAGTGGAGCCAGGCCCTTAGGGCCACTGCACGCAAGTAAGAAAAGGAAAAACAAAAAAAACGAGACAGCTACTGTATGTGCAAAACTAGAATGAATCTTCTCCTAGAAACTGGAACCATACGAGCCATCCGTTTGTCTTTTCTGCAAGTGCTGATGAGTGGAGCGAGGCCCTTAGGCCCACTGCACGTAAGAAAAGGGGGGGGGGGGGAAACGAGACAACTACTGGAGTGTTTGTGGTAAATTCGTAACCCATAACGAATGTTATGGAAGCCCTGCTAATTGCTTGCAGGGTACTTTTCGGAAAGGAGAATCAAACCAATGAGAAGTAGGATGAGGCCCCAAAATATTCTCTGTGTACTTACCCTTTTAAAAAGGGAGGGACACTTATGGGTACGACGACCTACCCTAACAACCACCACCTTTTGTTTATGCCTGCCCATACCCAACTCCTTTGGAAGGGGTACCCAAACCCGCCTGTAACCTGGCGGTTACAGTTGGGTACGGCCGGGTACGGGGCAACTACGGTTACCCGTTTGCGCTCTCTGATGTCAACCTTGCCTTGCGGTTAAACACATTTTTACTTCGCTGTGGTCATGTGAAGTTGTCAACCTTGCCTTGCCGTTAAACACAGTTGCTGTGCAACGTGACAATGCGGTTAAACATTGCTGTACAGCTGTCCATCGACCAGCATTCGGACTGGATTTGTCTGGGCTTGACCAACTGGTTTCCATAATCTTACCCACAGGTCCTGCACACTTTTTTTTTTTTTTTTGAAGAAATTTAACTTGTTTTCTACTCTACTGTATACTTACTATAACTCTTTTAAGTTGTGGAGCGGGTCTGGTAAGATGCTGCCCAAAGCGCGCAGCCAGTTTCGGAATGTGGTTCCCATTGGGCTGAGTTGCAGAGAGACACACACACACACACACACACACACACACACACACACACACACACACACACACATGCACCAACATAACACAAAAGGCTCCATTAACAAAACAGCACCGACCACACATGCCAATGGTCTATAAAAGTTTTAGAGCCCTCTATGACGACCTACTACGGCACCACAAATCAAAAATACACCGCAGGACCTGTATGCATGACCAAGAGTGCCTTGAACCTCCCACTGCCGCACAACCTGCAGAGTCGGATGATGTCCTAGTGCTACAGCGAAGCCACTGCGAGGACTACACCAAATTCCACAAGATCTCCAGGCGACACCAGGAGCGCTACTGCTTAAAACACCAGTACTCGGCCCAGCTATCGGCCGTGGAAAAAATAGAGTAGAAACGTTTCTAGTCAGATGAATTAGGGTGCTCCTGTAGTAGCCCGTGCCTGAAACCGGGTGATCTAGCCATGAGCAGGTTGAAGAGAGTCCTAACGGGCCTTGGAGGACCGAACCCACGTATGTGGCAAAATACGGGGATGACTTGTGGCTAGGGGTAAATAAAGAAAGAGTAAGAATCAATCGTCCGAGTATTGATTCTTTAGCGTATTACGCTTCATGCCTTTTGCCCCATTCTTGAAATCGTGGCGTGTTAACGGGCACCCCTCTAGGAAGTAGTGGTGGTTTAAAACACTTTAGAAGGCACCCCATTCTTCCATGTGGTCCGAAAGAGCAGCCCAAGGGAATGACACCCACAGCAAAAACTCTCTGAGCCTCCTCGCAAGGATATCGTGGCGAAATCCCCAAAGGACATGAATAGCAGCATACCATGACGTTCCTTGAATCTCTACTTGCTTCCCTTGCATTCGTCCTTTGTCCATTGTACGCCACAAAACAGGGCATGTCGTTAAGCGAAGTCCGGTTATGGAGTGCTTTTGACTTTTTTTAAACCAGCAGTCCAAGAGGCCTGCCACTGTTCATTTTTATTGGGAACGAATCCCGCACCAAACTGATCAGTGATCAGGCTAGGCAGAGGTGCGGAGGGAACAGGCTGGTGGGCCTGGTGGGCCTCCAAAAAAAATATTGAAATAGGAAAGAATTAAACTATCGAAGTGGGGGGGGGGGGGGGGGGGGGGGGGGAGGAACAAGAGAAACTTGGGTTGGTTTGCACTATTCACCCCAGAATTTCCGGCACGATCTGAATAAGAGACTAAAGAAAAAAAAGGATTTCGAGGCAATAGTGGCCAGGTACGTTCTGAAAAGTTTGTGTGAGAATGCCCACACGAAGGCCTTCCCAGAGAATGTGGCACACAAAGAGAAAGAAAAGAACCAAAAAAAAGGCACAGATTTGCCCGTGATAGTGGTTTCAGATACATTCTGAAAACTACTAGAGGGCAACAAAGAGAAAGAAAAGAAGAACCAAAATAAAGACAGGTATTTGGTCGAGGTAGTGGCCAGATACGTTCTGAAAAGTACTAGTGTGAGTATGCCCTCAGTGAGGGCGCTTCCAAGCATGTGGAATGCCCTGCCTTGCTGGCAGGGCACTAAGAAGAAAACAAAAACACAACAAAAATTGGCCCGTAATAGCAGCCAGACAAGGGGGAAATTTGGCCCAGAGAAATTTGGCCAATGTTTATGCCAATGCCCAGAGAAGGGGGAAATGTGGCCAATGTTTATGACACATTATCAGCGAAATGAATCCCGACTACGAAATGCTTCTGATTTTTTTGAACTACCACTCACTCCGACGTCAAGAAATTGGGGGAACCGGTACACAGTTTCATCAGGGTTACT